GGTATGCACCTGGGTATTACTTATCCACGTACACGCACATATGCTCGTGTGCATCTTTTTAATGAGGCAAGATAGTAAAAAAACACATAGAAAAGATTATGTGACCACCATATCTCCAAGAGGAAAGAACCTAGAAACCTCAAATTTTGCACCCATACTAAGTGGACCCTGAGGGTATGCACCTGGGTATTACTTATCCACGTACACGCACATATGCTCGTGTGCATCTTTTTAATGAGGCAAGATAGTAAAAAACCCCATAGAAAAGAAGTGGTTCCTTACAATACAAATAGAAATTACAGACAGACAGACAGACAAACACACATGCATGCATGCATGTGCACATACACATCTTTTTAATGAAAAAAACTAGTGAAAAACCACATACAACACAAGTGGTTCTTTATATAACAACTTTTAATATATAGAAAAGCCATTGCATTTTGGTAACAATGCATTCCAACAATGGCTTAGAAACAAAAGAATATAGGTTATACTTTTATGCTAAAATGGGTTCAGAATACACACAGTGACATAGTCATTTAGAATATATCAACCTAATAACCCAAATCAAGCCGGGTTCTTTCCCTAGTTTTAAATAAATGTAAGGATACGTTACAACGTGTATTTTAAGGAAATGTATGTTGTCCATCTTCAGTACGTAGTCTTATTAAAAAAAAAAACATGAATATAATGTATATTGCTGCAATATATCATTTCAAGTATATATATAGAATTTTTTATTGCAATGTATCATTACTTAGATTCTTAATGATGATAGAAAAATAAACAAGACCTAATCATTTTATCTTTAAATGTTAAAGTTGTTAAAATGTCACCCACAATACTTCCGAGAAATTATATATTTTATGAACATGAATCTTTGGTTTGTAGGAATTATTAAAACACGAATACAGCAGATAACAATTTTTAAAAATTACATATGGGAATTTTAAATTATCAAAAGGAAAATAAAACTAAGTAATAAAAGTTTTTACTTTTTTTGTGAAAACCACTGCTGTCCACTTCTTAAAACACATTTGTAACAAAGTTACTGAAATGTATCCTTAAGTTTTTCATGAACATCAAAGTGAATATCAAATGGTAAAAGTCGTGTGTACTATATACACTGGGTGTTTCTTTCAGACCATTCTAGTCTCCCAGTGTGCATGTATAGGCTACCCAACCCTGGATATGTACGTGCTTTAAAGTAAACTGTAAAAATTATTTTTTTAAATAATTTTATTGTTATGTGTTTTTACTTAAAACAAACAAGTCCCAAATTTTATACATCAGTTATTAATCTTTAAAGCATAAAAGAATTTTGTTAAACTTTTCTGTTGAAATGCTTAAGTTCAACCACAAAAAGTTTGAAGAAATATGTTTTTATGATTTTTAAAGAAGAAATATTGAGTAATATGATTACACCTACAGTGTATGTGTAACTTTATAAGCATTATAATAATCAAATATATCTTATTATTATTGAAGTTCCTCCTAGTTTTCAAATAAAAAGAAAACTACCACATTTAACTTATAAAATACAAAGGATTAATGACCATGTATTTATAGCATGCCTCTGAGTATAATTTGTACTCATAATGTCATAATAGAGATTTCCTACAGGCAATTCATAATATTCAACAACAATTAATATTTACCCTTCCAAGAATGCATCATTGTGTTAACAATTTAGAGCTTGTTAGAAAATTTTTCATATTTACCATATCACCTAATTTAATTCCTTTGCACTCACTGGTCTTTCTTAACTGCCCCTCTGGACTGAAAGCAAAAAAAATTGTGCCTTTATTAATCTATTGTCAATACGTTTTATACTTTAAAATGTTAAAAAAAAAATGTCCTAACTGAAAGTTTATTTTCAATACATACTTGCAGAAAAAATATAAACTAGTACAAAATATACAGAATGGACAAAATACAACAAAAATGATGAGTAAATGTCATTATTTGTATTATGTATGTAAATATTATCATACTTTTAGTAAATCTATGTATTTGTAGATATTTAAATCTTCTAAGCATAAAGCTAGTTTTAACAAATAATGTATAGCTGACAAACATTATTTGTTAACTCTTTCCATATGAGGGTCAGTGAATTACACCAACCTTGCAATCCCAAAGTAACCATCAGAGTTACCAAACAATAACTTCATGTACCTTTATGAAATTTGGTAAGCTTTCAGTAAACATTACAAGTCTTTTGTATACAAAAGAATTAGAATTTTTAATTTAGTATTTTTACTAAACATTTGTCCATGAACATATGGAGTGAGAGTGTTGACTGCTCTGAGTGTAAAGTGATTTTTAGGTTAAGATTAAAAAATATTATTCCTCACCTGAAAATCTTAAAATTTATGTGTGTAACATCTAAAACCTCTTAAATAAAAATCATGCAATATTTTCAGTAAAAAATATCTGTTATTTTCACTACCCTAACTCTACATGAATTTGGTCGATTTGAACAACCTTGTAACCATAATAAAACTATATGAATTAAATCTAAATTTCTCATTTTTTAATTTCTAGAATGAATGCAAATAGTAACAGAATACTACATTTGTTTACCTTAAATAGCTTAAGGCTTGTAAGATAATTTTATTGTTCTATTGCCCTTTCAGCTGTGTCTAACTAATAATCCTCTCACACAAATTGTAAATCACTTGGTGAACAAGTAGCCCATGTTACCATATTTAATGATGTAACATACAAGCTATTCACCAGAATACCCCATGGATTTTTTTTATCTTACCTGATAAGTTTCTAATTTTCACATTTTAGTTACTTTTATAACAATAAATACAAAAATATGCATGAAAAAAAAGAGAAATATAGTATTTACCTTTGACCTCTTGTTTTTTTTGCTGTCAGATGCTGAGGAAATTTAAACCTATTTTTTTTATATTGATGGTACTAGTACACTAAATATTTTTTTTACTTAAATAATTCACATAAGAACACAGAATGATAATATGCATAAAGAAAACAATGCCCTATAACTGTTATAATTTAATTGACTTTCTAACTATGGCATAAGAGCCTTAAAATATTTTCCCGAGCTTCTTGATCTGAACACTGTGAGAGAAACTTTCAAAATTAAGACGAAATACACAATACTCTGTACTGAAAAAATGTAATATAATATGTCACTTTGTCTATCTATAGGTTATAAATGACATAATACAAAATGTCAGAAAGAATTACTGGCAATTTCTAAAAATGAGATGTGATAGGTAAGAATAGCAAGTGAGTCTGTCTTTCAATTTTATGTGTCTGTAAACAAAGAAAATTGAAGGCTATAAAATTAGACTTTGTCTTAGTAATATCTATATTATAATGAGTAATTTATGGTAAATTCTGTACTTCAGAGAGAGGTGGTAAATAAATCCCAGAATGGGCAAAACCTGGAGAACAAATGTCACAATTCTCATAATGGGAGAGATTGAAGATGTATTCAAATATTTCCTTTTAAAATTAAAACTTATATAATATAATAAAACTTTCATTATATAGTAAATGTTTTGGAGTTAGAATTTTCAGATTATTTAGCAAGCCATATTAAAAGTATTACACAATTAAAGGGCATACATAACTAATGGTTAACCAAATATGGTTGGGAAATGTCTAAAGCCAACCAGCAAGCAGGATTACCAAATAAGGTTCTGAAGAAACTCAGAGTAATGTACACACATTAATTGGAAGTGAATTCCAGTCTGTAACAGGAGATAAGGAGAGATCAATGGTTCTTCTTTTTCTTGGAATAAAACACATGTGAGGCAGCTAGAGAAAACAAATGAGTGTTTATTAAGTCTAAGACGCAGCTATCAAGTGTGTGTAATTTATTGCATCCCACATCCAGGGGGGTCAATGTTAGGAAAATGTAGAAGTCATGGCAGGAATAACAAGTGGGTGTATATGTGAAAAGAGCTTGTGCAAGCCAGAAGTAAACTGGCTTGGATTCCTATGTGTGTTCTAGCAAATCACAATGAAGTACATATAGAGGGTGCCAATGGGAAAGTTAGTTGCAGTTCTGGTTCTGTTACAAGAGTCAAACAACTAATTAGAAATTGAGAGTCACATGCAAAAGTTATGAATTCTGTTCTTTATCAAACTTCCAGAACAGTGCAAACAGTTGTAATGACAGAAAGTTTAATCAGAGTTCACCTAACTGATGACTTATTGGTCATAATTGAACTATTAATGCAGACATTAGAAAGTTTAACAAGTAAGCATGCAGATGTAGAAGAAAATAGTTTTAAAAAACATTTTGATGTAGATGACATTCTGAATTTGTTTAATTACATGTGTTCTGTTTATGTTACCTAGTTTCAGAGTAAAAATTTCTTGATTTTTTACATAAATCTACTCGAGTTGATGGTCTGCGAGCTTAACCCACAACTGCTTAACCTGGTAATAGATAAGTTCAGTTGTAACTCACGTTATGTCAAACCCAACAACTAGCAAACCTACACCTGATATAATTAAAAGTTCATTTATTAACTATGTGATGATGCCAAGTTCATTTGTATACATTGATAATAAAGTAGTTTAATTACATTTTGAACATAACTCTGTAAAAGATTGTTACATGAGCACTTTAACCTACCAGTAGCTAAAGGATTGAATTAACAAAAAATTTGTAATTCCTAAAAACTTCCAGATTTTTTCATGCAGCTTTTTTCTGATAATCAGAATCAAGCATGAAAAACATAAAAAGGGGCATTTTCACATAGTTACAACTAAGTTACTGAAATAATATATGCATCAAAATATATCAATGTTAGTTATCATTACTGTGTGCAATTACTCAAGAAATAGTTAGAAAGTAGCAAACAAAAGAATTTAAAAATTATAATACTTTAAAATAAAGTTATGACAAACTTTCTTCTACAAGAGTTTTTTAATTTTCAAATTGCATTTTAGTGTGTATGTATATTTTTGTGTTACCTTGTTTGTAAATTGTTAATGACTTTATTTTTTAAAGCAAGAAAAACATTAAGCAGTCAATTTTAATTTTAATATGAATTAATTAATCTCTATAAGCTTTAAATATGTAGTCTTTCGTATACCAGTGAGTATTTATAATTGTTTTATATTGTTGTAAAGTATGCAAAATGTTCAATAAATTACCGCTGTTTGCTCAAGTGCACAAACTTACTTTTTAACAAAGCAGCTTTAAACAACCTGGGTAATACTAAATTTATTGAGTGTAGTAGTGGGTGACAGTGTACTGTTGAAGACAGCCTTGATTTCAGTTTTGATTCTATGAAAATAAAACTATTTTTTATGAACTCTAAGAGCTTATAATACAACTAAAGAGTGCAGCCCCATATGTGAAAATGTTGGCTCCCTTTAATTGTGTTTATTGTACATTTTTATGATGTTAGATCTAGGAATGGTGTAAATTGCATTATATTTAGGCTTTTTGCCTTTACTCACACCATTATAACTAACTAAACTTTCCCTAACTCTCTAACTAATGGGGTATTGCTGTAAAAATGTAACTTCACTTAGGTTTGGTCTTAGAATAAGTTTAAAGTCAATACACTGCTCTTGCAAAACCAGACAAGAAAATAAGATTCAAAAGGAAAAAAGATAAATAAAATAAAATACGATGTATCTAATAATTCACATTTAAAGAGTGACTTAAACTGCATACTAATTTACAAAGATATAAAACACTCAAAGTTAATGCACTAATGAACTAAGTATTAAAAATTTAGAATTCTAGAATGTATAATAACTTTGCAACTCCCAGGGAGAGAATAATCTAAGCCACAGTTCATAGTCTTCCTAGTTGTATAATGTACTTCAAATAAACTGAATGATTGTTCTGTCCATATTTTAAAAGCTCTGTAATTTGCAAGTCTAACAAATAAATCTGCAACAAGGAAATCTGATTATGTAAAATTTAGCTAATTATACCATTCTTCCTGTTCTATTATCTGTAAATTCTCTTGAATGATTTTTGATAAAAATACATTGCTTAAACTCATGTGTACTTATATATTATCCATGGTTGATTATATCTAGCTGACTTCAAGGTAATTAAAAGCTACTCATAACCATGTCACTTATGAAAGAGGTCATTACAATACTATGTTAATCCCTTTTGCAACAGACAGACAAGTTTCACATCCACTTGACTGGGGAAGGATATTTATACAACACATATGGTACTCTGAGATATCTTCACAAAACCTGGTAATATTTTATTAAAGTTAATAAGTATATTGTACACAAGTATATTCAAGGTAATTAAAAGCTACTCTTAACTATGTCACTTATGAAATAGGTCATTACAATACTAGGTTAACCCCTTTTGCAACAGGCAGACAAGTTTCACATCCACTTGACTGGGGAAGGATATTTATACAACACATATGGTACTCTGAGATATCTTCACAAAACCTGGTAATATTTTTTTTGAAGTTAATTAGTATATTGTACACAAAAAATGACATTATTTTAATTATGTCTTTCTGATAAAAATGTTATATATCTATAGTAGTTATTTGCACTAAAAACTCTGAATAGTTCAAGTGCAAGGTGATTTTCATTTTAAGTATATCTTATAGTTTTAATACTTCATTTCCATAATCTATAGAACCTCCTAAATGAATATCAAGTTTTTTAAAGCAAAGTTTATAATTTATCTTTCATTTTCTCTATCATATCACTAACTCCAGCTATTATTATCAATGTACAATGCAATGAAATTATTAAAATTAGGAAATAGAAAAAATTACATACCTTATAATTTTCTGTAGAATATCTTTAAAGATCTTCTTTTGGTTATATTCATAATTTCAGGTCTTTTCCTTTTTACATATAGTTAATTTTTAATGCTTTATTTTTCTTTCTTGTCCTTTACCTTTTATTATTCATCTTCACACAAAACAATGGTACTCTCAGGCACATTACAGTATCTCTGGCAGAGATGTGCAACCCTTCAGCAAAATTTTTGTGTGCCATGTAATATCATAAGTCTTGAGAAACAATGCAAAGTATGATGTATATTTAAAAAATGTTTAACCCTTTCAATTAATTATGCATTTTAAAACATAATTAACTAAAATATAAAAGTAAGACCTAAATACAATTTAAGTATATCTCTAACTATAACATAATTAGGTAAGAAACAACTGTAGTAGCTATAGTCGATCAAGCAGCCAACAATATTGCAGGCAGTTACAGTTAACCTATGACAAAAATTGTACACCAATTTCAAAATAACCATTGTTGGATTATAGCATAAAATGAGCTCTTTCTAATGACTATATGCATGCATGTGTAGCCTTTACATGTAGGCTAAAAAGCTCAAACAAATCATTGAATGTGGGTGTGGCACCAGTCACTATTACTTGTTTCAACTGCATTCATCCAGGTAACTTTGAAATGTATGTGTCAATAGGTTAAGTAAATGTCTCATTGTCTAGATATACATCTAAACAACTGGTATTATATTTATGAAAATACAGAGTGCCAAAGTACAGAATTTTCACAGCTCATGGGTCACAAGACAATACTTCTAAAGTTTTAAGTAGTTTTTTAAAGGTTTTTATTGAGATAAAGGATTTAAAAGTTAGATAACATAAAACTTGGAATCATAACATACATTATAATGTTATTTTCATTCACATACATTTATAGTAAAGGTGTTTAATTAAATTTTGAATGTAACACAGTGACTTGTGCAGAAGTGTTTAAAGGGCTACCCATGTCAGAGAGGTTAACAACAGTTTCCAAATGGCCATGTAGGTGACATGTTTTTTACTATCATAGTAACACAACAGCATCTTTACCCACAACTTCTGATTCTTGAGCCCTAAAATGATATCACAGCTCTATAAAATTTTATGATGACAATTTCCATTTCTTATTTTACAAATGAAACTTGTACAGCTAAATATAAGAGCTTACCCTAGACAAGATGAATAATAAGTAATTTTCACATTTTCAGGTGCATTGTCTTTTAATTCCATGGTTTCTGTTATTTTCTGGAAAAAAAAAAAGAAAACGTTTTTTGGAAATAAACCTATTACATGTTCAAAAAAAGTCATTTTCATTGACTTTGTCATGTATCTGAGTAGTTCTGTACAATAACCCTGAGATTACAGTACAGAAAAATCAATGTTTTTTGGGAAACTAATTAGAGAATCAAAAAGGTCACAAAAGAAATAAAGTAATTATTATAAACTTTTGATCAAAACATGCTATATATATATATACATAGATACAAAACTAAACATACCTAGTGATGAGCATAGCTAATTACATATACTGTTCAAACTATCTTATTTATGATATTTAAAATGTAATGTTCTATAAGTTGGGTACCTTGCTGTCAACTATATTTTTGGCTGTAAAATTAGTGGCTGAGTTGTAATTATTTTATAACTTCTACATGTAGGTTTGAAACATTAATTGGTTTTTATCAGGCATTACTAGTATATCTTTGGTTTTAGTCACTAGAACATATCAAAAACAATATTATATTTCTTTCAAAACTATGTATTATTTGTGTGTAAATTTTGGATGAAACACTACCATGCAAAAATAAGTGTTACTAGTATCTACAACTGAAATATAGTGTGCCTTTGTAGATTGGTTGCTTGTAGATATCAATTTTTAATTTTAATTGCTTGTGTTAAGGACAAAGGTACTCAATAAGATATATGTGCTGCACCCATTACAAGTATCATAATGTTACAAGGTATTTGTAGTGTTTGGGTTGGCCATAGATTTTAGGTGTTCTTGGTTAAACCGGTTTGCATGTAAAAAGTTGTGAAGATTATATGTGATGTTTTTTAATTTAGTAATATTTTGAGTAACTTGTTATTATAGGTGAGCTCAAAACAATGTTTGATTGGGTGAATTTCGATTTTTTTTGTTCAGTGTATTTGTGTATTTCACATTAAGGGATCAAATTGTTTGGCCAATAGAAACGCAGTAGTTTCCCTTATCAGCATAAAACTCGATAAAAACATCACTATTTACTATGAGTATACTATTCAAAGTTCATAAGACATCAAAGCAAAATATATTAAATAGTGCTATTCTAGCAAGTACATATAGACAGCACTGATGAAGTAAAGTTTAAACAGCATTACATTAGGCAGAATTTTGCTCCAAACTACAGAAGATAGAGACTAAAGAGAAGCAGCTGATAAAACAGCACCTACCAACAACTGTTGTATGACTTAACATTGAGGTTTGACCACCACTCTTACAGAGCACTGATAGTCCTAAAGTACTTAGCACAGTTTAACATAAACAGGCCATGAACTATGAATTCCTAGATTCATAGTTTGGCATGCTAACCACTAGGCTACTCCTGGCACATGGAAATGAGAAATAAATTTCTAACACAATACTGTGTAGGCTAATTTTGCAAAGGAAAATTAATTGATAATAGTAAGTGTTATTATGGGAAGAAAAAAAACAGCTGGTGTAAAACATTTTTGGCTTAATACAATGACTAGAAATTAACTCTTTTAAAATCAGACATCATGTGCTCCCAGGAACTAGGAAATTTGATGAAATCTCAAAACTTTTATATTTGCTTGAAGAATTGTAAATTTCCCTGACGAAATAGCAGAAATACCCATGTATGCTACTATGGTAAGCAAGGGATTAATAATGGAAGTAATTAAAAGTTATAAATATTATTATATGAAAAAATAAGATATATTACAAAAAATGAAGTACTGAGTTGAGATAACCATTTACAATGTATAAATCTGTATGTACAGGAGGTATCTGTAAAAGCGACCAAAAATATATAAAAATATAAAAAAACAGTTACAGAAACAGGAAAAATTAGTTTATGGCAGAGCTACTAAGGCTGTCTGCTACCATCCCTAATATAAAATTGTCAACCACAGAAAAGACAACCAGCCAGCAGCAGCCATTTCCAACTCTTGGGGTATTGCACTTTTTATCAACAAATAGTTGAATTGACCATACATTATAATGCCCCCACAACTGAAGGAGTGAACATGTTCAGTGACAGGTTTTGATCACATGACCTGCAGATTGTGAGTCAAGAATGAACAACAAGGATGAAATAATAATTCTTATTATGATTAGATTTTTATTGAGAGATCTTAGTATAAAAAATGAATCATCTGACCAAGTTACATGTAATAAGCAAAAACAAACAAGTGACTATAAACACTGAAAAAAAAAGCAAAAAGTAATTATTCAAAAAAATATAAAAAATTAATAAAATAAATGAAAATCAAATATTGCTATCAATGAACATTTTTTTACAAATCCTCATTTCTTCTTTCTTTTATTTTGCTTTGTAATTGCCCTGTATTTCCCGTAATATATTGACGGTGTGCTCTATCAATGAACATTTTTTTACAAATCCTCATTTCTTCTTTCTTTTATTTTGCTTTGTAATTGCCCTGTATTTCCCGTACGTGTATATAACTTCCACTGCCATAGTATTCTTTTTACAAGACAACAAAAATATTCCATCAAAAGAAAACATTTTGTAACAATTTTAGCCAATTCTTTTCAGGATTTTGGAAGCATTTCTCTTTAATTCATTGCCAGATTTTTTCAAAGCGATTCATTTATTTCTTAAATAGGTATTACTTTAGTCATTGTGTTCTTCCAAAGGCAATTCTTCATTTTTAAACATTGTTCTTCCTTTTTTTATTTATGTCTCAAATAACCTATTTTTAAAACATTACTACTTATATAAAACCTTAAGGTGTTTGATAGCATATCTGTATATGGGATAAGAAAAGTATCCCTGAACGTAGTATCTATAACGAATACGTTGATCCATTGTATATTTTCAAAAACTCAGCGTACAACTGGCTTATGCTAATTACTAAAGAATTAATTGGTCATTTCTCTAGGTGATCTTTACAAACACCTACACGAGTATTTTTCTTGAGATCAGTTCATAAACTTTGCAACTACACATACATAAACAGATGAAAACAAATTTAATTCATATTTCAAGATCCATAAGATAAAATCTAATAAACTCATAGCCAAGAAGTGTATTATCATTCATTTTGAGTTAAATAATATGATATTTATTTGATAACAGTCAAGTATTGTGAATGTCTATTCATATTTTATCATCTCCCAAGTTATGTTGTCACCAATGCTTCGTAACTTCACCTTATTAAACAGAACATCATGTGCAGTTTTTTCATTACTTTCATTTTACAGATATGTTCAATGATAGAGCACACCGTCAATATATTGGCATTCTGGGGTCAACAAAAAAAAAGCGAAAGATAACTTAATGTACAATTTCTAAAAGAATTTTAAAATATATCAACCAATGTATTAGGTATTACAGAACAATATCATACAAAAAATTACTCTTAACATTACATGTGATCTGCTGAAGTACATAACTAGCAAATACAGTTGAAAAAACACATGTAATAAAATAACTGGATGATGAATCAGTATTTAAAAAGGAACTGTACAACTTGTACAGTTATGCAACCTGCTGTACTTAATGATGTTGAATTTTCCTGAGCTCACAGCTGGAAGTAAACACAATAAAATGCAGTTTCCTTGTATTCATAACAAAAAAAGAAAAATCCTATTAATTATGTAACAAATGTTTGATAGAAGTTATTAAGTTATTTAGCATGTCAGACTTACAGAACTAAACAGAAGGTTGCATGTCAATAAAAAGGGCTAACAGGTTGGCTGAGAAAAAAAAAAATTATCTGCCTATGTTTTAGAACAGTGTTCAATATGGAAATGGTTCCATTATTTGAAGCTGATAGCCAGACACAGATTCTGCAATAAATGTTGGCTACCTAGTGATTAGTTTGAGAACCAATTATCAGATATCTTTATTACAATATTCTTGAATTATATGTATATATACATTTCTTTTTATGAGTAGCTAATTTTTAGTTTTGAAGGTGACAATTAATCTGAAATGTAAAAAAAAACATTATGTACACCAAATCATTTTATTTTTATTCTGCTTTAAACTTGCATTATCAACAAAATTAGTGGATTAAGCTGCTACATAAAACTAGAAGTTTAATGTTCAATAAACAGTTTCTCCTACTATCTGAAGGATTTATATCAACTGAGGTATGGATGCTTCTTATAAATCAAGAAAACCTTAACACTTACATAACTACAATATATATATATATATATATACCCATTCTATATAAGTAATGAAAAAGTTTGTTTCTTTATACATTCTTCGAATCATGCTAAAACTGTCCAAAATGATATACATTACATATTTTTGTCAAAATTTACATTATTGCAAAATAAATGTACCTTATTTAAATTGGCTACCATGGAAACAAGTACTACTAACAAACATAATCATTTCTTGAAAAAGATACCCTATAAAAGCTGAAAATCACATTACAACTGAAATCAAATCAACTTTTCATGTAACATTCTTAGTCTAGACATACAGTTTTCCATTATTAACCTGTTGCAAATTAAGTACCTTAATCAGAAAAAAATCCAAACATTTTATATATGTTTATAACTTTCACTGCCATGGTATCTTCTCAGCTTAATCAGAAAACAAACCCACACAACTTACAAAAACGTGTGTACAACTTCCACTGCCATGACATCCTCTCAACTTAATCAGAAAACAAACCCACACAACTTACAAATACGTGTTTATAACTTTCACTGCCATGGCATCCTCTCAACTTAATCAGAAAACAAACCCACACAACTTATAAAAACGTGTGTATAACTTCCACTGCCATGACATCCTCTCAGCTTAATCAGAAAACAAACCCACACAACTTACAAATACGTGTTTATAACTTCCATTGCCATGACATCCTCTCAGCTTAATCAGAAAACAAACCCACACAACTTACAAATTTGGTGTTAATGATTGAAAATTTAATGCTGGTATTCTAGGGTTAAACAAGCTACATTTAAGAGTATAAACACTATCATTAATATGACCCCATACCACTTGGTGTTAATGATTGAAAA